CTATCGTCCAATAAGTCTAACTGCGGTGGACAGCAAAATTCTACAACGAATCATCAGGGATAAACTATTCGAACACATGGAAACAAACAACTTCTTTACGAACTGCCAACACGGCTTTAGACCCGGTAGATCATGTACAACCCAACTACTAGAATCCGTGGAAGATTGGATGGTAGGGTTAGAAAAAGGGAAGACAACTGTTGTAGTGTACCAAGACTACAGCAAAGTCTTCGACAAAGTGTCTCACAGAAGGCTACTACAAAAACTTTCGAGTTTCGGTGTGGAAGGCGAAACACTCAACTGGATAGAAGACTTTTTGACGAACCTAAAACAAAAAGTGGTAGTGAACGGTTCAGAGCCAAGCTCAATAAACGTCACGAGCGGGGTCCCACAGGGGAGTGTGTTAGGACCAATTCTCTTTCTAATATACATCAACGACTTCCCAGATAACATATCCAGTACTACAAAACTTTTCGCAGACGATTCAAAAATCTACAGAACAATTAAAAACAAAGAAGATACAGACCATCTCCAGTTAGATCTTAACTCAATCTGTGATTGGACCATCACATGGCTCATAAAACTAAATGTGGGCAAATGCAAACATCACAACATTGGACAGACGATGGAAAATTACCATTACACTATCCAGCAGGATTATAGGATACACAATACCTGTACAGTAGCCAGTGAAAAAGACCTCGGAGTCATTGTAGACAGCAAGGCAAAATTTGAAAATCACATATCAACCTCTGTAGCAAAAGTCAACAGGAACCTAGGCCTCATTTTTAGAACTTTTACATTGATGGACAAAAATATGTTTTTATCGCTGTACAAATCCCTCGTCCGCCCACACCTTGAATATGCAAGTGTTGTCTGGTCACCATATTTGCTAAAAGACATCAAACTACTGGAAAACATACAAAGGAGGGCAACTCGTCTAATTCCCAGTCTAGCTAACAAACCCTACTCAGAGAGACTGCGCCATCTAGGATTACCTACTTTAGAATACAGAAGACACCGAGCTGACCTGATCAAAACATACAAGATCCTAGAGGGAATAGACATTGTAGATCACAGCAAAATATTCACAAAAACCCAGGTATCCAGAACAAGAGGGAACAACAAAAAGCTGTTTAAAAAGAGAACCAACAGACAATTAAGCAGTAACAGCTACAGTAACAGGGAGTCCTGGAATAGTCTGTCAAACCATGTGGTAAATGCCCCTAGCGTAAATAGTTTTTAACACAGACTCAACAAGCTCTGGTCTGATCCCCCCTGTAAATTCAATGCCTCCTGCTATTAGGAAGATCGAGTCAGACTATTAATATCTTAACTCACTTTTTAAATGTAAGATTTCAGGATTTCAAACCCTCTAGATCAATACGCACCGGAAGTCGAGTATAAGTATAGGAACATTAAAATGCGCCGCAAGAAGCTAACCGAAGCTTCCCATTGGTGTCGACAACTATATCAACTATACCAACTATTACAAGTTGCAAGATCCACTCTAATACTGAAAAAATCACAATTCACAAAATCCACAATTTTCAAAACTTCTCCTCTGAAAGTTAAATGCTTCTCTTCTGTGACTTTGTTTGACTTTAAAACAGTGCAATAATGCAAATTTGCACTTATTGACAAAAAACATATGTTGGTAAAATGTTTATTTTCTCAAATTTCATCATTTACCGCATTCCCTATGGTGGGGGAAAAGCCAAATTCCCTTAGAAACAAAATATTCTTCCACTTAACGGACACATGTTTAGTCTGAAACTACCTCAAATCTCGCTATTTTCAATTTTACCAAGTATTACAAGTCGCAAAACTACAACTGATAAAAATAATCCCATTCACAAAAAAAATACAATTTTTAAAATTTTCCCTCTGAAAGTTACATGCTTCTCTTCTCTGACTTTGTATGACTTTAAAACAGTGCAATACTGCAAATTTGCACTTATTGACAAAACATGTATGTTGGTAAAATGTTTATTTTCTCAAATTTCATCATTCACATTTCACAAAAATACACAATTTTTTCAAATTTCTCCTCTGAAAGTTACATGCTTCTCTTCTGTGACTTTGTTTGACTTTTAAACCATACCAACCATGTATATATAGGCTCAATGACGTCTATGTCAGATTATCTGCGACATGTAAACACCATGTGTGAGATGACGGAAGCCGATATCTTATTTTAAGAAATGGACAGCTCACGATCGGATATAATCGAAATCGTTAGGGAAATCAATCGTTTAAGTAATACACATGCAAGAACAAATAGAAAAAAACGTCTGATGTAAAAGAATCTGTAGAGTATCTGATCATTAGAAATATTGATATATGAAAAAGAAATGTTTTTTATCTACTTTTTAAATAAACGGAAGGGCACTTTGTGTTTTTCATTTTATTTTAGATTAAACATTCAAGCTGATGCAGTTATGTTATGGTAGCAGGATCACCAAATCTGTGACCTATGATGAGTGTGTAGCATAGTTGGGAGGTATGCGTGCCTTGTATATATCAACTTTGTAATTACACATTTTTCGTTCGCTACTGTACTATGTGGTCTGCTGTTTTGAACCGCTAAACGTTACGGCAACCAATGCAGACACATACAGAGGTACACGTGCAGTTTGTTATGATATATTGTATAGATTTATTAGTATGTCCTGCATATTACCTAGATTTAACTGATGGTATCAAACGTTTCATAGAATTGTCTTTCAAACTATCAAATGAAACATTCAAATAATGTTTAATTAATAATCAATAATCGTATTTCATAAAATATACTAAAAACTGATAGGTCACTATGTGGTTGTGAGTGTTGTTTAATTGTCATTATTATTTTTTCAACTGTATTGCTAGCTGTTTTGTATTCGTGGAATTGTTTGTTGAGATATCAAAGTAGTACAACGTCTATTTTGAGAAGAAAATGCATGAAAAGTGAGCTATCAGTTGTCTTTGGGATTGTGTGTTAACGGTAAGCATTCTTGTTTAACATTTGGTTTAATTTCCATCAGAGCTGCACTGACTTTATGCGGATGTGTATTATGAAAGATTAAACCACCAGTGATCATGACAATGTATTGTAATGCATCTTTATGTATGTTTTTTTTTTTGATCAGTTTACTGGAAATACGGCGTGATATTTTTCAACACTTTCCTCATTTTTGGATATTACTATTCTATGGTTATCCCGACCGGTTTACAGAATGAGTTTATGGAAAAATTTGTAAGTATGATACTTTTTGTTTGATTTAATACACAACACAGTAAGTGATGACAACATAGGGAGTATAAAATTATATATATATATGGTTATCAGTGGTCGGCTACTCTGTCTTACAAACAACAGCATATCACCCAGGTACGATCCTGTAATTATGATATCATTATTAAACTTATGTGACAGTTGCCATCGTTAACAATTATATATTTGTATGTTTATATATAAAAATGTATCTATCGAATTAATTAAAAAATTACTAGAAAAAAATGTGATTTTTCCTTTCAATGCCACCACAAATGACCTCAGGAATAAAAAGCTAAAATGTAACAGAATTTTTAAGTGTTCTACTTCATTTGCTGAAAGCATATCATTTAAATGCGAATTAAGTACAGAACTATTTAATTTCGTTATTAAGCGCCTAAAATAAAGTTTGGGACGTATTGTTATTACCGCCTTCCTAACTTATTCCCATTCGTCATCTTCTTCTTAAGTATTAGGGCGCTTGGCAGAACGTTACACATCCGAGAAGCTGTCGCAGTTTCTGATGTTGATGATCATTTTTTTAAACCAGAGATCGCGGCAGCTAGATTCATAACTGAAATGAAATCTTACACATTTTCAGGCACTGTAGTTTCATTTGAATCAAACTTGTGATGTAGGTACGAACACAAAGGCATATTTGGTTTCATAGTGGGACAAAATGTCTGCGTATATTGACTCCTGATTGGTTCAAGTGTAACAATTACTAGATTTTGCTTAACTTTGGTCAATAGGTGTATGTGAAGATGCACGCTCTACTGTAATTTCTGCTAGAATCATTTGTGAATACTGTCAATCCCCCTGTCAATCAGAAACTTGTATTGGCGTGGTTTTAAACGTTCACAAGTTACTGCTTGGGTGTCTTACAACTTTCAATGTCCATAAGACCTTTAATAAACAGATGACCTAGTAAATCTATTTTTTTTAATCAGGTTGTTCTATTGCGCGTGCAACCATTCGCCATGTGATGCCTATATATTCGTTTCACAACAATCTGCGTCTTCTAATCATTTCTGACCCCATGGGCAGTTGTCATACTTTTTCTGTTTACTCAGTGTATATTTGGGAACGATTTTGCATTTTCAGTCGCCGTTTGGTCGACAGACGATAAACATTCTTTGTACCAGATAATTATTTCAACTAATCAACACCACACACTGACGAATCGGTATTTCTTGTGAATGCATGCTAGAGGTTAAGTAAGATCTTCAAATACATACGAAATACAATGCGTGTACCCTCATTCGACAATGGAAACCAGTGCCACAGCTCCTCTGTTTACTTGCATGGTCTGTTAAAAAAACCCATATGATACGTGGTTCTTAACCAAGGACAAGTCTTGCCACATCGGGGACGAGGTCGAATATGTGTAAGACTAATTGTGATTTATAGCATGTAAGCTTTGTGGGATAGATAATTTTCTATTGTGTATTCACAGCAAAACACTACAGGGTCAAACAACACGAGTAAGCAGACAGACTGCACTTTGTGTCTCGGTCTCGGAGAGGTCCGTTATAATGTACTTTTCTCCGTAATGAGATGGACGTAAGTAACACTATACAGTTGTATACCGCTGTGTCACAACAGAGAACCGTTGTTCGAAATACTTTTAATATGTTTTGAAAAACATGTTCATAATTTGCATTTGTTATAATTGTATAATGATATTAGTTCATATAAGTAACATGAAAGCATGAGCAACATAAGACACCAAGGTACGACAATAATGAAGATGTTTGTTATTGACAGGTTAGCCATATCCAGTCTGCCCTCAGGTTACATGATTGACAGACTAGGGAGTAGCAGTAAGTACATCAAATATACTGTGAGCAGATTTATTGGAAATCGTACACTTGTATAACTAAGTATTTAAATTCTTAATTTGACAATTGTTCTTTATTTGATGATTTAAAACATTTCCAAAATGTCGGGGTTTATTTTATGTATGATTTAAAGCATATGATATTGTATCTCTGAATCAGATCAGTGTCATAACACATTACATATTTACATTGTTAATAAGTACTTGTAAGTATTGTATCTTAGATGAATCCATATTTTCATAATCTGAATCACATATGTAAATTATATGTAATGGAAGTTTTTAATCTATTTGAACCTATACTCCACTTACATGTACATGTACCAACTTCTCTTTAAAACTAGGGGTTTGTGATGACACCCATCTCATGAATTATCGCCCTACGCTCACCGGTATTATGTTGCGTCTATTTTGCCGGGACGACCCTTCATTTTAGGACGTTAGCAGGTTACCTACTATTATTAGTCCCACACAAAATAATCCAATGAATCTTAAACCTATTGGTTTGTTTAACATACATCTCTCCATTTACTCAGTTCAGTCCTTTAACATGAGCATACGGTGTTTCGAGAATCACTTTTACTCCGTACTGCTATGGTCAAAGTCATTGTGAGGGTCAGCCTCCCGATTTGCCATGCCTTGGCCATATATCATGAATAAACTTATTTCTCTCATGAATTTAACATGTGTGTACCCTGACTAGACGTTGCATTTCAGATTCGTGTCGTGAAGATCTAGGACACAGAATGAATAAATAGTGATCCAATGTAAACTGAGACCGAACAAAAATTCCTTGCCGAGTTAATCTTCATACAACTAAGGTGGTTGTCGGGGACACGCATGTACATTTCATTTTTGCGCTTCATTATATTTGTTTATTTTAGGATCTGCAATTATCCTGAGCCTAACGGCGTTGCTTGGGTGTATCCTGTCCACTATAGGAGCCATGTCACATTCTCCTACTTCTGTACCAATGTACTTGACGATGGTTGCTGGGCGAAGCATAATGGCCGTTGGGGGCGGGTCACTCAGATGTATGTAACTACTACCGTGTGTACAATTAGGTGAAGAATCAACCATTATTGTAATTCAGTTATAATAGCGGTTACTGCAACCTTCGTTTTCTTTAGAAGGGTTTAACTAGTGTTTACATATACCCGGTCGAGTAACACAAGAGTTGGTGCTAGAATGCTTTGCTATTTTATCCAAAATATTGCAATTCACACAAATAGGGCCATGTCGTTTCTTTTGCTAAATATGCGTGTTGTTTCTCAGTAATACAGGCCAGAGTGGTTGCCCATTGTTTCCCAGAAGCCTCCTTCATACCCATGGCATTTGGTTCACTAGGACTCGTTGGAGAGGGCTTAAGCTTTTATGTAACTCCTTATATGGCAGCAGCAGTGGGAGTTCGGCTTTCTATATGGTTAGGTACGGTATTTATATTATTTTGTTTTCATGCATGTAAATATGTTCTTGTTCAGTAAGATCACATACACTGGATACTTATCGATCGTGTGGTAGAGGTCTGTTAAAGAGATGTAATATGAATATCAAATTGAACTGGGATATCGATCGTTTTTATCTGTTAGTCAAAATTTGCTTTAAAAGATGTTGAAATCGACGACGTTAAATTTCACGATTGTCATCATGATCAAGTAATGTTTTGGATTTGCAATGTCTCTTGCTATGAGAAATATTCATCATGTCTAAGATTGGTGGCGACCACATACTTTCCTCTGTTTGAAGAGAGACATTACACCTTCGGAGCATTTGGTTTTGCCAGGGTATTTTGTTGGGCGTTTGCATGTGTCTCTTTTATTGTTTACACGTGTTTTATGTATAAACTTGAAATTTCGGTTTCATCGTAATTCGTCGAGGCTGTAGTATGTATTTGGTATTTGTTTGTTTTAGGAGCAGTAACCTGTGGGTTCAGCTTTTTGTGTGCAGTGGGTCTCGTATTGCTTCTTCAAAGGCAGGAGCCCCGAGAAGCAGACGATTATGAAAAAAACAAAATACCAGTGAGTAGCATTTACGATCCTATCAGAAGGGAGCCATGATGATGAGAGGGTGGATTAAACAAACAGCAATACTAGAAAGAACAGGGAGAGGGGGAGAGAGCAGAAAGGGAGTTGCAGGAGAGTTATTATCTTTGTTTATTTTTGAAAAAAGTAGGTTCTATTTTTTTTAAGACGTCGATTTTATCTACTTTCAGACACTAACAGACATATGGACAGTGCCAAAGAAATTTTGGCTATTCACATTGGCGATGGCGTTAATCCAAGACACTTTGATCGGCTCCCTGGTCAATTTACCGTAAGATTATTTGATAAAGTTATCGTTCTTTGTGTCGTGTCCTTTTATTTCCCTTTAACTGGGATCTGACGTACTCATTAAAAATGTGCGTACTTTGAATTAATTGCTGTCATATTACTTTAATGCCGTAATTATATTGTTGTAGGGATTATTTAAAATCACGGTATGGCTACACTATGACAGAGGCAGGCTTCATTACCAGCGTTACTTGTCTCTTAAATATTTCAGCACCTATCCTCAGCTTATTCCTTGTAAGTTTTTTATCCTGACACATTTATCATACACCTTACATATATTAACAATTGATGTACTACATCTCAAGCTGTTGAAACCTCTCTCTAATTTTCTTAATGAGATATGTGTCTTGCGCCTTGAATGAAAGTTTTTCATATGTTAATAAGGTAGCCTAATCCTGATGCTGGCATCCTTTCCGTTTTTCTGTTACAATTACTTTAATAATGATCGTTGTCACTAAACGATTCCTGATACCGATTCTTCTTTGTGCTTGTTAATCCAAAGGCGTTCTTATCCCGAATAAAATGCTCATATCTTTTTCGTAGCATCCCTATGATTCTGCAGTATTATGCGCATTCATATTGTAATATTTCTCTAACTTATTATTATCAATACGAACATTAAATGAATTATATGGACACTGCTTACAGAAGTATATCGACTGTCATGGAGTTGTTCTCATCACTGCTATCATATGGATGACGTCTGTGTATGCGCTATTGGGGTTCCTTCCGGCCATCCACCCTCTTATCCTAACCGTTTCATTTGGAATAGGATCAAGTACAATAACAGTAAGTTGATCTCGTTGCATGTAAATGTATAATGTAGGAAGTATGGTTAACACTACTAAGGGTTCTCTGTCTAGTTTATTTGGTCTGACGTCGTATTATGTTTCAGGTAACAATGTGGCAGGTCCTTATACTCCTCAGTCCCGCCTCCTGTGTGGGGACTCTCGGAGGGATTTTATCGTTGATGAGACACCTTACTGTAGCGTTCACCTTACTTGCCTCGGGTTATATACTGGAGAAACCTGACGTGTGAGTATCATTTAACGTTGTTGAAACCATTCTGTGCTAAGGAACTAGTGTTATCGTGAGTTGTGTTGATACACAAACACTAATATGATTCAACGTCATAGTATTTCCTTTAAATAACAATTTGATACGGTGAGTAAAATGTTAGCTCGGATATCTTATTAAAATTCCGTTTTATATTTATTATTTTACTATGTAAGTGTTTTTTGGTCTTGCTGAGGTTTAATGCAAAACGGTGTTACATAATTTGTGTTCTGTTATATTGAACATTTATACCAAATATCGCACTGTTCTACCGAATTGTTAGCTTACGATACATTTACTACATTACATCACGATATATATTTGTTTTACACAGAATTGACATGATGAAAGTCCTACACTCATATCAGAATTTCTTTTTGATGTTGATAATTATGGCGTCCACAAGTGTGCTTTGTGTAATGGTGATGAATGTCCTAGATGTCAGAGAAGTAAGTTTGCAAATATTTCTTATTTCACCTTTCAGAAAACAACATATACAGTTTCTTCATTTGAAATGATCATCATAAAATATGTCTCTCTTTCCTTTTTGATTGTATTCATTGCTCGTTTGTTCTTTTTCAGTCATGTGCATTAAACTCCAGGATAGACAGATGGAGGAAATCCGACATAGAATCAACAAAACTAATTGCAATCACTCGATCTTCAATGAAGTACTCCTGAACGAATATATAGATGCTAAAACCACCATTGACGGGATTCAAAATGTCTCGTTTATCAGGTTTATAATCAGGGAACCTACAACTGAAATGAAGAAGTTAATAACGGATTGTGTCAAATCTACTAGAGTTCAATTTTAGAGTGTATTTATGCCAGATAACCTATGCAAATAGAAAATATATACAAACAAAAACTTGAATCAAAAGACATAAACCTTGCACCACCACCTGTAACACCGACGTAAACCTCCACAAGTAGAATTGCTAAGCGGTGTCGAGTGACTAACGCTTTATGAAGGCTGCTTCCAAAATATCGTTATTGTGTTGAACGTACGATCCATCCATCCATTAAATGCTTCGTGTTAATGGTCAAGAATATTGAACAAAATAAACAAAGAAATGTGTGTAAGCATGTGGTCAGTGTACCTTAAATATGTATGCTTTGTTTGATCTACTCTCACTGTTTTCATTCTATCGTGTATAAGTGATAAGAGATTATTCAGTTTATTGATCACAGGAACACATAAACATGTTTATGGTATTGCCAAAATTTGTACACTCTTTCTTAATATCCCAATCAAAATAATATGAATGCGTAGTAAGACGAGAACCAGATATCTGTGGAACGGTCGACAAAACAACGATAAGCTATTGTAGTGAATATTCATTTTATATATACACACCTGATAATATTTTGTTTATCATTAAATTAATAAAAGAAATGGTATGGGGAAAAAGTATCTAATGTTTTTAATGTTCACCAAAACTCTATAAAATTGGTGAATGAACACCTTCTTTAAAAGATGATGTTATTGTTATTGTCGTATACAAAATTGCGACACGCCTAAAGCTTAAGATGGTTGTCTCTTTCAAATATTAAAATTACATCCAAAGCTTTCATGGACAAATAGTGTTGCTTGAAGAAGTTCAGAGTACTTGCCTGCCTGTTTGAGTACCATACTTTGCAGAACGACATTATTTACAAATACTCCTCCCGTAAATACCAATAATAGATTAATAGAATCAGGAGGCCGACCCTCGTGAATTTCTAGCTGACATCATATTCAAAACAGACTTAGTTACATTCTAAAGAATCATTTGCATCAAGAACCCCTGAACAAGGATTTATTGTAGATTAAGTATGTCTTATTGATCAAACAATACCTTCCGTTTGTGACACTTCGGTTTTACCTATCGCTCTGCCGCTTCTTCACTAATTTTACTGCGGCTGAAGATTGAGATGGTGGGAACGAGATCGCATTTAAAGATCGCAGATCCAAGGTCAATATCGATGTTACATACCATTGTGAAACATATGCGTTATCGATGTACCAGCTCAATTGTTCATCTGATTGAGATAAAGGGATTACATTTTATTTAAGTATTTATTATTTTCATAATTAAAAAGGAGTTTTAAGATGGCGGACAATTCTCAGAGAAAGGTAAATGTGTTTAATGTGTATGTTATGTGTATACATATATCATATTATTCACATGGACTTAATACTGATGTAGTAAGATATACTCACACAATATGTTGCTCACAGTCACACAGCAGAAGGTGATACAGTAGTAACCAGTATCAATTTGTGGGTTTTGATCTTGAACCTGAAAATTTAAGAAAAATATAAATTCATCATCATCATCCTCATTAAATTATCATTAGTAGCAACATGTTTTGTTTGGATTTGTGGTTAAACAACGACTCACAGTGATACACATCCCCTCGCATTTACACATTGAGACATATGTAATAGGAAATGAAGTTGCTAGAATGATGAGAAAGTTTTTGGTAAAAATAGTTAAAGAGACCTTGACCTTGAACACAGTAACCTCAAATGCGAACTTGTTCAATGCATTGCCATACCAAACACTTGTATCAAGTTTCATAAAATGTCATCATCAATATCGCCATGCAGCAGCAGCAGCAGCAGAAAGTTTAAATAAGTATTAATAGTTATATAAAAAAAA